GCCATTTTTCACACCTTTCACTGACTTAACCGCCCTCTATCAATGTCACGGCCCAACGGTTTTATGGGACGACCACCCTGAAATAAACCGTCATACTGTTGTCTACCGTAACCCCGTGTCCAACCGAGCTTAGATTGCCTAGGAAATAAAAGTTACTTTATAAGCTTCTCTTTAGGATCAGTGTCTAGCCTGTAACATTGCGTCTGCCTCGTCCCAGGGCGCCAGGACGTTAGGTCACAAGTCACAGCTCATTTTGCAACAAATTTCTCGGAACAACAACAGACTGGTTTTCAACACAGTGTGTGCTTGGCTACCACTGACGAAACGTCAGCTTAAATATATCCCGATACAATAAATGTATTCTTATTTGAACTTGATTTTTACTGCATGTCCCATGGTTTTCCTAAAATCCTGGAGTGAAAGGTGACCTTGATGACCTTGATGGCCTTGATGGCATCTAATTAACTTTGGTGGTCTTAAAGTTGCATCCCTTTGAAAGTCAGCACAGAATGTCAGCTTTCATTGAGATTTATTTTCATTTTCCCTTAAGGTATGACTGAAGACAAAAAAATAAATCCTTTGTTCTACTGTGTTCGTTATGGAGACTTGAATCAATATGTTTAATACAAAAACGAAAGAGTTTTTATACTTATCTGGATTCACGGTAAAAACCATTGTACGTGTATTTGTAAACTGCACTTCTAACGGGAACCTTTTTTTTTCGAGGCATATCGCATGATGGTTCTGTTATCATGCCAGTATGATATTAAATAATTTCAAATGTCTTTTTAGCGTGAAATGATACGCACGCCATGAAATCACTTCTTCGGTCAAAATCGTGCATTTCTGTCAAAATCGTGCAGTTTCTTTCTGCTGGAATCAAGATCATCCGTAAAACATATATATCAGTTATAATTTGGGAGTTGCAGAACAGCGGAGTGATGAATGATTAGCACTCCAAACTGTCGGAGATCCGGGGATATTGCGTCCAGATTATTTCTTCCGTTGCAAATTTCACAAGTTCCTATCTGTATCTGTATTATTGATCAGTTGTATAGCACATCATTTCCTGTGGAAAATTAATCATCGACATCGGTATCGGATTGAAGAGAAAAGGGGAGAGAGGCGACAGCTTCTTTTTCAAAAGAAAATGACGACTTCTGCCCTTCTTAGAAAAATCGAGATAATACTCTCACTAGGGTTCCTTGGCGAATGTGGATACACGACTAATTCAAAATGTCCCCTATTGCTTAACATTATCACTATATACAGGCGTCATCCATACGTGGGATGGTTTTCAACCTTCGCCGCTGCATGAACTCTTCAATCTGATATTCATTAGAAGTCCATTAAGGCTCTGTCACACAGAGCGTATAACACCAAGACTGGGTTCCCATACCTAGATCAATCCAACAGGATCGATCCCTCTCCGAGGGGTTTGTCGCTAAGTTGCTTTCAGCTTAAGCGGTCTAGATGCCTGGCACGCCTACTGAAGTTGCTAAGTTATAATTAATTACCCCCTAGCAATTTCAGTAGGCGTGACAGACATTTAAGCAGCTTAAGTTGATTGCAATTATATCCCCTCGGAGATAGATCGATCCACAGTAGGGTCTGAGAATGATCCTTAACGTTTGAGAAAATTTGCCCATACACAGACAAACGAAAGGGATTTGTTACAATTACGTCGCATACGTCTCGAGTACGCAGGTAATATTGGTGTACGTTCTCATTCCAGGATGGAGATAAAATGTTTTGTGTATGATCAAAACAAAGTTCATACGCTGCTTGTATCTTCATCTTAATACGCTGGATTTCATACGCTAAAATAAGGTACGTATAATCGATATCTGATACGATACTTATACGTACCATTTTTACGCTAGGTGTGACAGAGTTTTTACGGCGATGCGTAAAAGCAAGTATACAGCATTGGTCAAAAAGGTTGTCCCACCCCCATTTCCATGTACTTTTATTTACAAATGATCACCTCACAGCTGTGAACTGTTAGAAATAGTGCTTTTTATTACGGATACCGTGTCTAACATGAATAATGGTTAAAAAAATACAAAAAAATGGTGAAAATATACACATTTTAATGCTAATTGTGTGTGAATTTGGTGACATTTAATGGCTTCTTTTCAATTTTATAGTAATTTCTTTACATCTTTAGAAGTCACAGTGAAACAGTCGATTTGAGGGGGTACCTCTTATAAATTTTACTAAATGGTATAAAATACGTATATTTTCACCACTATTTTGTATTTTTAAAACCATTGTTAGACACGGTATACGTAATAAAAAAACACTATTTCTAACAATTAACAGCTGTTAGGTGATCATTTGTAAATAAAAGTACATGGAAATGGGGGTGGGACAACCTTTTTGACCAATGCTGTACAGTTCCATGTCTCGCTGAAAATTGCACCTACAACATACATGTATATAATCGTGTTTGCGTTTAATTTCCAATCTCGATTATTTCGCTTTCCCAGTGACACAGATTGCGTCCAAGGGTCAAGTTAAAACAAAAGTTAATACAGTTTTGGCCCGAACGATTGTCTCCGTATCGTTGCATGGGTATCAACTTTTGTAGCTTTTTACAAGATAAATAACCCTTGTTTGAAAATCAATCGCATTACTCGCTTTGTTTCCTGCAAAAGAAAGAAGAAAAACGCCTCTATAGTAATAATGATCCGGTTGTATTCAGTTTCATCAATTGAATCGTCTGTTGTCTCCTCAAATTCCTTTGGCGTTACGTAACAAATTGCCTGATAAGGATCGAGTGAAGAACCTGTGGGAATTCCTAATAACACTTATGTCAGTGACTAAAATATCTGTCTCGTATGCCTATTTTGTCATTTGAACGAAGCAGCTTTTTACACTTTCATGTCTTAACCGTGGTTTTATTACATGCTACAAGGATAAACTTGGAGAAAAATAAACATGGTCGGGATACCACAAAAATAAATAAATTAATTGTTATATAAACAAATGAAAAATAAAAAATTATGATAAAAATTATACTTATGATAATTTTAAAAATATTATTATTTCTTTTTATAGTCTTATCTTATCGGGTATTACTTTTTACAAATGTTCTGTTTGGTCGTTATAGATAACGTTTTGTAATTAACGGGTTCATTAGGAACACACCACGTTCGGCGTGCTCCCGCCAGTTTCGTCAGGCAAGATGTCATTATCAGTCACAATTAAAAATATCAACTTGATAAATGAGATGGTTTATTATTGTTGTTTAAGCACATTTTGTCGTTCATTGACATTATATGACTCAATCTTACCTAAATGGGCAGGAAATGTAGGGTTGAAATTGGTCACCAGAGTATCTGCAAATGCCTTCCACTGGGGAACTTTCCATTTAGATAGCATCCACTTGTAAATCTTGCGTTCCCAGTACCGTTGTCATAGGCCATTGTCGATTTATTAGATACTCAGTTGTGTCTCGTCTGAAGCCTTGTGCTCAGCCACAGAAGTCCTACCGGGGAGCTCCATTTTCATTGTTAGATCTTCTGGGATTCATCCCAGCATGTCAACACAGAGATCGTTTTGTGAAAGCGAACTAAAAAAGGTACAATGTACCTGTACTTTTGTGGGTTCCCTTGCAGCAATATTGATGAAATATTGATGCAAACCTTTAGTTTGCAACGATTTTGCAGAAGTTTGCAAGAAAAAAAATATTGCTGCTAATTTGCAGCAAATTTGCTGCAAATTTGCAAGAAGGAGTTTGCAGCGGCCTGATATTTTGCTAAGGGCTTTGTAACCAACCTTTCATTTTTTACTTACTGAGAGATCCTGTGTTTTTCGTCTGAAGCTCATGTTGTAATCTGTTAGAATAACGAAAGTATTGTCTTTGCTTACATGTCGCATTTTAAAGTTTAAGTTAAAGGCGAAATCTGTATATACTTGAATAAAATTGTCCAAATATTAAATTCACATTAAGTGAATAGTTAAAATGGTTTTGGGGTGCTTAAAGTGGTAAATGTTAAACAAAAAAATGTCTAGTTGTTGTGTTTTTGCGTTAAAAATAGCGAGCAAAAAGTTTCACAAAATTTGAAATATGCAAATCTGAAGGCTACGCAAGTTGCTCAATGGTAGCGATTTTAAAACAAGTGCCATATCTGTAAACTGGTTCGTTCATATATGACCGAGTCTTTGCTAGTAAGTAAGTCACTTCTGACTAGAGTTTGCCGAGGGGATCTCATTATTTTTTCACCTCGTCACGCATGCAATTATCACAGACTCACGCGGATTTACCTCACCAATGTAACCGTCATGCAACAAGTGGCTTTTCTTTTCAGTGGTGACTAAGACAAATAATATATTTATATATTATCTTTAAACGATCGCCTGTATGATTATGTCATTTTCGTTCTTGTATCTTTATATTCAAATGTGCGTCTAGCCTTAATCTAAAGCACGTTTTGTTGCGTTTTTGTATCTCGGCGTGTCAAATGGTTATCTAATCGTACTTTCCAGCATAATTCGAATCTTTCGCCAAGAGATATATCAGCTCCGTTCATTCCAGTATAAAAACAAGAACTATCTATTGTCTCCTGGGTGATCACCGAGTCTGATCGAAAACGACGCGAGCGTCTTTGAGGAGGCACAGGCCATTGTTTCCCATTGTTTCACAGAAATGATTTCCATGGCAGCAAAATCAATAAGCGAGCTTGTAATTTAAATATCATCCGAACGGTTATCTGTATTTCAGATTTGTATTTTTGCTGTACAGCGAGGTGGTTTGAGTTTAAAAAGTGATATTTGTTTTAAAGTGTTTGCCATTGTTTTGCAGGTACCCGGACCCACGTATACCAACAGGTGTGACAAGCTTGGGAGAGTTGGCATCCACCTTTGAACTCTCACTGTCTTGAAATTTTCCTGTGAAACAACTGTAAGGATCTGAACGTGGAACTCATAACAAAGTGTCGCTTTCCTTTCGTTGTCAGAATTTCTTTGAACTGGTATTGGAATCATACCAAACAATGAACACCTTGTCATTAGATGAGAACATCACGTCTTGGACCTTATCGGATTCCACCAATCGCTCAGAGGAGGACTGGGCACGGATTCAGAGTTACTACAACCTCATCAACACCTTCTCCACCGTGTGCCCCGCCATATTTGGCAGCATCCTGCTTTTGGGGATTCTCGGTAACGGTATGGTGATATACGCCATCCTGGCCAACAAGTTTCTGCGGACGTGCCCTAATATGCTGTTCCTGAATCTGGCTGTGGCAGATCTTCTGTTCTTGTTGTTCTGTGTCCCCCTTCAAGCCGCCTATTACATAAGTAAGTACGACCTCATCCTCGGCGAGGGCCTGTGTAAACTGTTCAAGTACACCATATTCGTCACCATGTCGGTTAGTGCGTATTCTCTGATGATAATATGCGTGTTTCGCTGCATTGCCGTCGCAATGCCATTACAAGCCTCGCGGATACTGACGAAGAGATACTCCCTCATAGCCAGCGGGCTGATATGGCTCGCCATGCTTCTTCTCAACTCCCCCATAGCTTTATACTACAGTGAGGCCAGCGGGTCGTGTACCTCAAAGTATGATGATAAGGACACCATAGTAGCTATTGCTGTTGGTGTGGACTTCCTACTACCTATTACGGCGTGTTTCGTAGGCACGGGCATTATTACCGTCTCGCTGCGCCGAAATCAGAAAGTTTTTAAAAAGATGGACTACGAAACTTTGGAAAAGTTGGAAAGTTGTAGACGGAGTACTCGTAAAGTGGTGATTCTGGTGGTGTCTGTGGCGGTTGTCTTCTTTGTGTGTTGGGCACCGTTTCTTTCCATCACTCTCTACAATGCGCTTCCCATTGGAGACCGCGTCGATCCACTGACTGTCTACGTTGCCGGCGTTATTGCCCAACTTTTGGCCTTCTCGAACTCCTGCGCCAATCCCATCATATACAACTTTGTGTCCACGGATTTCAGACGGGGATTCCGAAGGATCAAACAGTGTCGTTTGAGACGCGGTCTACAGCGCCAGTCTACTAATAACACCACGCGCAGTGATATTGTGCTGAGAGAAAGGAACGTTTCTCTAAAACTTGTTCAGTCCGATGTGAAATGATCGACCTTTAATGCCCCTGCTTTCTAAAATGGAAGGAACTGAACATGCGAATGTATATTTGTTCGACTGTTGTGTAATTCTTTTCTGATTTTGATCTGAAATAGGTGTAGGGAAGTTTTTGCAAGATAAATTACACCCGAAAATTGGCACTTATTTTTAGACCAAAATTTTGAACTACTAAGTTCAAAACACATCCGTGCCAGTCCACCAAAATAAAGTAAATGTTGGTTTGAAACCAAGATGGATGTATCGCTATGTGTGGGTTTCACTGTACGCGTGTATGGCACGTGGTTTTCGTTTAAGTAATTGCTTTTTGCGAGTAAAGAAAGCCATCAATCCAAAATTGAAAAGAGACGATTATGAGAAGTGGTGTGCAGACCAAATTCTACAATTGCACAAATACTGCCTAGTTTCGTTTTTTTTTAATCATTATGATTATGCCCCCATTGGAGCTACATGTAATATACACGGTGATTACCAGTTATAATGGTCTTTTTGATAAAATGCCGTGGGGATGTATTCAGAAATCAGTCAATAGGGGCCTATCCCAGAAGCTTATAGGTTCTATCAGAAAGGTTCAATGATTATGCGGAAATAACTTCGTTGTCTTGATGTAAGTTTTGTCAACGGTCTCAGAGTGTGAGTACAGCACGGCGGCAATAAAAATCCCTCACAAATTATTTCGGTGTCATCTACGTACCGGTATCTGAGTGACATTTTACCTCTAGAATACCTTTTAAACTGAAATATTCCACGTTTAATGTCAAGATTTTATATAAGGAAACAAATGATAAGGTTTTGCCACTATTGAAATTTACCACATAAAATATAAATACACAAAGACTGCCTTGCAGTGATATTGATAATAAGTGATAAGAAAGAAAATGTTACGACTATCTGAAAAATGAGACGTCAGAGGAAACGTCAGTAATTGTACGCATTGCGCCAAGAAACCCCCCGTGTTTTCCCTTAAAGGTACTGTTCTATGTAAGTGAAAGATCATCTGATCAACATGGGCAATCCGTAATATTCGCTAATTGACATATTATACCCTATCACACCAACTAGGAAATGTCAGATAACCTCCTGTCATGATCTATTATCAACATCTGCTTCTGTTTTCTGTGTGTTCAAGTATTGGTAATTAATACTTCTCTCTAATGTTTTTCTGCTGTTTGCTTCGGTTTCTTTCACAGACCAATTACCGGTGAGTCAAAAGAAGAGACTTATCTGGCTTCGGAAGCATCTCGGTGCTCTGTTGCACAACCTGATTGAATCCATTTTGTAAATCACCCCATCTCTTCTGAGGGCTGGTAAGAGCAGGCAGAATTGTATGGGGACAATGTACAAAATAAAAATCGAATCTGTTACAATCAGACGTGGTGTTGTTTTTGTAGAAAGTGTTAAATTGCAATGTCTTTACCCCCAGCCCCCCCCCAATCCCGCCAAAAAGACACAATTGTAGGGTCCTCTTTTCTATTCGTCATTCAGAACCTATCCAGCAGTTTTGAAAGACAGAATAGAACCCTCCTTCTGACTGGCCAAGCACTTTCCATCTACTGACAGACGACTGGTCACGTGTTGACACGTGATGACACGTGACCGTTATTATTGACGGCATTGACGTATAGAGATGACGGTCGACGGTGGTATCTGATGGCGTTGTGCTATCTGGAACAAAACTTGTCTTTCACACGAATGCGTATTTTCGAGCTGAGACAGCAATTTCCTATATTTCTATCTAATTGAAGTACAGAAGATAAACGCTTTTTCAAGTTGACATCCTGTATATTGTTGCGAAGTGGACTTTTGTTATCGCCTTTAAGGCATTTGGTGACACTGATGGTGATTAATCACCTACCATGTCTTCTCAATGTTATCTGTGGTTGATTTGTTTGACATATCATCAAAGTAATTTATAAAATGGTTTCCTGTGCTTTTATTTTAAGCAATGTCTGTACATTAGACCAATTGAAAATACATTAGATATTGACAGGAAAGAATATATCCATCAATAGATGTATCCATCGCAAAGTTATCTTACACCAAGTAAACAAAATGGTACTTAAATGGACATGTAGAATGGAGTAGTCGGCCCAAAATGGTACTAAAATGGACGTCTATAAATAGAAGTGCAGTAACCGGCCAGACAAAACTAGGGGGTTCGTGCAACAACCAGACCGCTTTCCATTAAATTCATTTAGGTAAGGGCAAACGTGACGTAAGTTGGTCACTATCTTAGACTGGATATTCGTGTACCAATGAGATACATATGGAGCTCTATACCAATCTGTGGGAACCGGTGTAACAAAACTGAGGGGTTTATGTAACAGAAAGTCCGTCCTTCATTTAGTTATAATGGTTAGGGTTAGCCTGAATCGAGTGGGTCAAAATGTAGGACGAGGCTTACCTGTACAAACGAATGGGAAGAGGACTCTCTATCCGGGGGGACTCTCTGTCACACCGGTCCCTGTATCACAGGTGGTTCTCTCGTACATGTCACCGGTGTAACGTGACAGAGAGTACCCCATAAAAGAGAGTCCGCTTCCCATTCATTTGTACGGGTGAGCCTCGCCCTAGATTTTGACCCACTTAGGTCAAACTAACCTTAACCATTATAACTACGTATTCACGGAGGGCGGACTTCGTGTTACACGGACCCTCAGTTTCGTTACACCTGCATAATTCATATACATCATATAGGGAATAGCAAGGATGGTTTCGTAGTGCGGTATAGATTAGCGCTATCGACTACTTGTACACCAGACGCGGCAAGTGAATGACATAATAATTCGTCATGGAACGAGAGAATTGCGGTTATGCCGAGTTACTATAGCAACGTGTATTGGGTAGAATGAGAGCGTCTATTTGCGGTGGAGGGGGATGCGTGTTTGGAAGGTACAACGCATATGCGCCCCCCCTCCTCAAAATGGATTTGATTTTTAACTCTCAAATGCGTCTTTTTAAATCTAAACCTTGACCCCTGATTGCGCCCATGCGTACCATGAAATCCTGTGCATGTACATACCCTGCATTTGTTGCCACTTTATTTTATTTTATTTATTTATTTGCACCTTAACACAAGATTTAGGAAGGAATCATTGTCCATGATTTCTCACAGGGCCTTGAACCTAGATTATGTACAATCATAACTGAAAAAAATCAATGGGAATTTCGTTTTCGGACTCGCAGTAAGACACCCTTTGTCCCTCCGGACCAAATGAGTGAAGGATAATTAGGTTTACCAGATTTTGGACTCCTTTTAAATGCATAGAACGAGAATACCTGATTGTCGCCGAAAGACCGTATTTCGGAATGTTTTGAAGAGGGACATTTTCTCGTTAGAGTTCTGGGCGTGTATATTGGTGAATCTGGGCGTGTATATTGGTGAATATGCGATGTTTTTTTCAATGTAAAAGTTAGTAGAGGACAGACAGACAGATGTAAAATGTGATGAACATTTATAACAATCCCCACTGTGTTGATACTAATGTCATTCATATACAAATTTCAAAGAAAATGGCATACGATGGTACTGAGCGACATTTCGTTGAATGACATTGAGAAATAAAGATTTTACTTTCGTTGCCCTGCAGTTCCATATGTTTCGTAAACACAGTGCCCTTAACGTCAGGGATGGTGTCAAAATTATCAAATAATTTAAGGCAAATAGATTGGGTCCCGTGTGACCTATCTGAAGAAGAATTTATTCTCACGCACTTTACATTAGGGATGGTATCAGAACTGTCGTGACATTGAAGAAAAATTGGCAGGGCATGTAATCCATCTTCAGGATAATTTTGCTTCGGTGCCAGAACTTACATGGAGTCGATGGTTAAATGACGTTTTTGACATATCCCAGCAAAGTATTCAGTGATATGGGAATGTGAAAAGAAAACAAGATAAAAAAAAACGTATCCACAGAGGTGGTTTTTTTAACATATCTGGAACAAGAATGGTAGACTCTACGATAATTAAAATACCTTATCTTAAGCAAAAAATACTTTATCGATACACATGTAGTTCATGTACTGTAGAATCATGTAGCGAACAAGAAAAAAAATTAATAATCATTGGAAAAATACACTCGAAGGCCTGGGCTCAGAGATCTACATAGAAAAATAGATGGCGTCCCATGTGATCTATCTGAAGAAGAGTTTATTCGCACGCACTTTACATCAGGGATGATAACAGAATTGTCGTGACATTGAAGGAAAATTGGCAGGATCTCATGCAATCCATCTTCCGAATAATTTTGTTTAGGTGCCAGAAACACGAAAAGCGGTGCCAGAATTCACGTGGAATCGATGGGTGATTGACGTAATTGACATCAACCAGCAAGGTTTCCCCTGATAGGGGAATGTGAAAATAAACAAGTTAAAAATCGCATCCACAGAGGTGGTTGTTTAACACCGGGGTCATATCTGGATCAAGAATGGTACAATAATTAAATGACCTTATCGTAAAAAAACTTTATCGGTAGTTCATATACTGTAGAATCATGTAGCAAACAAGAAAAATAATCATTGAAAAAAGACACTCGAAAGCCAGGGCTCAGAGGTCTACATAGAAAAATCAGTGCAGCTTTCAACCCTTTTGTCAAGTTCTGATTCTAGTCCCATACCTAGATTGATCTAGCAGGATCGACCTATCTCCGAGTCTGATGTTTGACACGCTTACTGAAGCTGTTAGGGGGTAATTAACTGTCATTTAGCAGCTTCAGTAGGCGTTCCAGACTTCTAAGCCACTTCAGCTGAAAGCAATTTAGCGAGAAACCCCTCGGAGATGGGTCGATCCTGTTAGATCAGTCTAGGTATGGGCATGGGGTTTATAATTCACATGTACAACTTCTTTTCCCCATTGCCTCGTGAGTATCACAGTCGAGGCATTCAAAAATTGTATGACGTTGCGTGAGCGATTTCCCAGCTTGGATTAGTTTTTGAGAATAATATAATGTGAAGTAATCACTTTTGATCTCGATGCATCGCTGCCCCATTGGTGATTAAAAGTCGTTGCAATAGTATTTTTTTTCTTTTCTTTCCTTTTGATCATTTAATGAAATACAAAACATCGAAATGTCTTCCTCTGCATCTTTTTTAATGTGATAGAGTGCAGGGTTTTTAATAAATGAATTTCTTATTGTTGAATTTCCCCAAGGACAAAAAGTGATACTATCTTATCGTATTTTAAGAGATAAACGTCTTTAAAAATTGAAATTTACCAACTCCTGAGGAACCTCGTTGCCCGTCAACCATCTTATCACAGATTAATGATTGCGAACAATCTGGAATTGAGCTCTTTGGTATGGTGGAAAAGGTATATCGATTAAGCGTAAGTTTAGGATATTTTATTTTTCTCAGATTGTAGCAGAGTAATGACCCGTGTCAGAAAAAAAATATCAGAAGTTGGTTAATCGGAAAGAATGCCCTTTTACCAAAGAAAAGTCGATAAATTATTATTCTTTATTATTTTCGGAAAATCCTACGTATGCAATGTGCATCATTGAGTACCGATATTTCTTTAAGTACTCTTAGATGGAAATGCCTCCATTCAGTGTCTCTCGACTTTTTTTTCACAGGAAACCAAATATGCATCAACATCATTATTTCCAAAGCGTACATGAAAGATCCTACACAGCGGAATTCGATGCTATGCCGATTTGTTTAATTTTCCGGATAGCATCGAGTTCTGCTGTGTAGGATCTATCATGTACGCTTGGAAATAATGACGTTGACGAAAAAAAGTCTGGATTCTCAAAGACACTGTGCAAATTAACAAAAAAAAAAAAAAAAAAAAAAAAAAAAAAAAAACTCTCACAATGGTTAAGTTGACTTGAGACACTGAATGGAGTCATTTCCATCTAAGCCTACTTAAAAAATCGTTCTTTTTGTTGACTTTTAGTCTGAAAAGCATGCAATCACAATTTACAAGTAATAACGATATGTATCGAGAGGATTAAATAAAGGCCATGTTCCTTTTATTTCAATAACTAGTCATTTATCCGTGTCAATCCAATGAAATTTTCACTTCATACTGCTTCAATATGTTGCCTCTGGCACAAAAGTTTTGTCTATGTAGCAGACGTTTCAATTTTCATATAAACATAATGCCGAAATGAAATTCTCTCTCTCTCTCTCTCTCTCTCTCTCTCTCTCTCTCTCTCTATATATATATATATAATGGGTCTAGTTTTCTTCTGCACACTCACAGTTATTATTTTCTTATCATGATACACGTCCTAACTTCGTCTAGAAATTTATCTTCCTAGACTTTTATTGACCTTCCGAGATGTTCGCGCCACTATATATTTCTCCGTTGGACTGGCTCCAGTCTTTTGGCTTTGGCTAACAAACACTTTGTCTTAAATGCGGTCAATGTTTCTCATGAATTGAGAGCACAAATTATTCAAAATATTCTCAAGTGGCCGTAATGGGACAGAAGATTGTACCTTAGTGATTTCAAAATGCAATTATAAACTGGATAGATGGCGCAATGATCTGGTCATAATCCTGGAAATTTCAAAGCGCGTAATCCTTATATAAGGAAACAAATAGTCCGCCATCCATTAAATTCATAAATGTAACTACTAGTATGACGTAAATGGGTCAAAATCTAAGACTAAAATCGGTGTGGCAGCAATGGTAGTCCTAGGCATTGAGGTCCGGGGTCCCATATGGTTAGTACTACTACTACAGGTTAGGGCTAGGTATTGGGACTGGTATATGGGACAAATGTAACCTGTACAAAGTAATGGGGAACAGACCACGGTTCCTAGCAGACTACCATTTCTGTCACACCTGCATTGGATGCATATTTGGACATCGGATTTTTGTATTGAATACCAAATGGCTATATCAATAACTACGTAGGCAATATTTTTATGTGTTTGCCTACGCAATGAAGAAGAAATGAGTAAAACTTTATACATTTATTGTGGCTATTTTTTTTTTGGGGGGGGGGGAGGGGGATGGGTGCTCGTAGAATTCGTCAAGTATTTTTCTAGGAACCTTATATGTACATATGTAAATGTATATGCCAGCCCCTCACCCTAGCTTCGGAGCAGTCCCCTTCTAATGTTTGAAGTAATGATTGCGCCGATTGAACAAATGTTATAGAGCGCCTTTGATGACCAAATTCTGTAAGATCAGGGGTAATCCTAAAGAGGGGTGAGAAACGGCCATTGTTCTCGGCAGATAGGCTAACCATTTTTCAGGGTATGTACGCACACTGACATAAAGAAAACCGTGAATTGTGGAAGCGCTAGTGTTACTAAAGCCTAGGTCCCAACCGAACATACGGGCTGCTACGTGTGGTCTACGGCCCAAAAAAATGGGGAAAACGTGGGAGTTCGTGCGTAAGGAGCACGTTCATCGTGCGACTTTTGGAGGACGTAAACAGCACGTAGATACTTTTCGACAGGATCAACTCTTTGCAATCACCAATTACTTGATTCCTTCCCTGCAATCTAGTTACGTCCTAGCTGGACGCAAGGAACCTAAAAAAACGTGCGTCCAAAAGGAAGAATTGGGACCTAGGCTTAATGAAGCCACAGGGAGTACCTGTAGATGTCAGTCTGACGTCTTGAACAAGAACTTCAATGACAAATGAACAGTTGTCAAAAAACAAAGGACCCAGGTGTGGTGGAACGACTGCTGTTCATGCGTGCCGCAAAGGCCAAGTTCTAGTTGCCCCAGAAGGTCAGTACTGACGGTAAGGTCCGTCTTAATCATAAAAGTAACGCGTTTCTTGGACATAATAACGAAATTTTGTCCATGCGCGTTTGCACTCCCTGGTAAGATATCCAAAGCCGCCATGATGCCCAAGCAATTGCCGCTCTCTGTCTCAACTGCTGCAATTCAATCTACATTGAGAACTTGGTAGGAATTTCCAAGATAAAATTAGACTAATTTTTTTGTGGTAGTTTTTTTTTTGTATTTTTGTAATTTTTTGCTTAACATACTTGATTCACTCTGCATTTATGTTAGCAAACTGAGGCACCAACATAAAAAAACGTAGTAAATTTATGTTACAAAATCATTTCTATGAATTATTGAAGATCGTGGAAAGGTGG